CCCCCCCCCCCCTTCATGCTTGAATCGGTCAGACCATCAATTCTTCTGGTTTGAAACTCTGAAGACGTGGGGGAAGGAGACCCTCAGAGTATCCTTTCCACACCACCTATGATTCCAATAGTTGATTCTCCTTCCATCTCCCACCCTATAAGTGATGTTGCCACTGAAGGCTTCCCAATTCTTCATGATGCTCCTCCACATGCCACACCCGAAAGGTGCTATGATTGTCTTGGTCCTCCAACCCCCTCCCGTGGAATCGTACTTTTCTACTATGACCTCCCTCCATAGAGCATGCTCTTCTACCCCGAATCTCCATAGCCACTTCCCCAACAAAGCTCTGTTGAATACCCTAAGATCTTTTACTCCTAGTCCACCCCACTTCTTTGGGGAAGTGACTGTCTGCCAATTCAGTAGATGAAACTTTCTAGTTCTATCTGCTGCATCCCAAAGAAAATTCCTTTGAAGCCGCTCCAATTTTTCTGTGATGCTCACAGGAGCTTGCAACAGGGACTAGTAATAGGTGGGCATACTCGATAAAGTGCTTTTAATAAGCACTTCCTTACCGCCTTTTGACAAGTACTGTTTCTGCCAGCCTGCTAATCTTTTTTCAACCCTTTCGATCAATAGATTCCAAACCGTAGTATCCTTATGCGAAGCGCCCAATGGGAGACCCATGTAAGTAGTGGGAAGGGAGCCCAATGTAACTCTTGATGTCTTATCCTCGCTAATCACCCTCCCTTGATTCCCTAGCTAGGATGGATCTGATCTATTGGGCTCATATACCAGCATATCCTCCGATGTCAATATTTTAAGGTTCGTGTGAGTTGTGACTTCTGTTTATGAGCAAACTCATGATGTTTTTTACCTAGCTAGCTGGTGATGATTGATTTGTCTGTCATGTGATGTTCACTCAACTACTGTATGTGAAGCGTCAAAAGGTTCAACACAATTTACGTGGCGTTATGTGTTTATAGTCACTTGTACTCTTGTGGCTTTTCTTAAAATATTTACCTTTTTGGCTTTTATTTAAAAATATCCAGTTCAGTAACAAATAATATTTTCCCCTTTTATTTGTTGAAAGAGAAAGCATCAAAAGGCTACCATTTGGTTTGGAAATCCTTTCAAGGACAATTGTGTATGGGTTAAAACAGATTTTTCAGTTTTCAGAAATTATTTCAAGAAGTGTGTGGCTTAAACTTCCTGTTGGATTTGTAAAAGCTCAATTCAGCTGCTGCTAGTTTAATGAGGGATACTCCAACAGGTGGGTGTTGTGTCTAGTTCTTTTAAGGTGGAATCCTTATACGGCTACTCAAACTTGTCCAATATTTTCATCTAGCTACCTCAACTGAAGCTTATTCCTATTAGATACTCAAACTTTATTGAATATGTGCCTATTAAACACAAAAGGCTAATCAGTAAAAAAAAAAATATGGTGCGTGTATTTCACGCGCATTGACGTGGCAAAAATTATCAAATGATAAAGAGCCATATGGCTTTTGACTTTAATAAAGTTTTTAAAACTTTTTAGCAAGAAAAAGAGAAAAACTATTTAAAAAGAAAAAGAAATCCCTACCCAACCCCTCTGCCGTCGCAGGCGCCGCAAGCCCTCTACGTTGCAGCAAGTCCCGTTCCCCATCCTCCCTTTCTTCTTCTTTTTTCACAAAATCGCTTTCTTCTTTCCCCCACTCACTCCCTTTAAAGGAATTTTGGTGGTGAGTTAAGGAGGAGATACGATGGTGCGCTCATGGTGGTGATTTGAAGAGAGAGAATATGGATGATGGCTATAGGTGTTTGTGGCGATCGGATTTCGTCGGCAGTTGAAATTCTTGTTGTGGCAGCGGCAACGGAGCATTGAAATGGTGTGGTTGTGTGGGTTGTTTGACGGTGAGGAGTGAGCTAATGGAGGGGTTCGTTGGTGACATTATTTGGTGGAGATGAAGGAAGAAGATATTTTTGGTAAAAAGGGGTTCTGCGATGGCTCACGAGGTTCTCATGGTGGCCGGAGTGTGGGATTCTATAAGAAGATGGTGGTAGCTTTAGGGCCAGATGATGGCGGCATAAAGTTAATCCATGATGAAAGGGAGGCGGATTGTGACAATGATGTGGCGGAGATGGATGATGTTCGTCTGCTGCCAAGGTGGTAGGACATTTGTGGTGGTGGCAATGGCGAAGCAATGGTAGTTTTCGAAAAAGGATTTTTGTTTAAAAAGAAAAAGTAGGATGTTTGAACTTCTCACGCGTTTAAGAAAAGTTTGAAATACAATTTTTGTCATGTCAGCCTTTTGTGTCTAATAGGCACATATTAAATAAGGTTGGAGTATCTAACAGGAAGAAGCATTAGTTGAGGTAGCTAGACGAAAATATTAGACAAGTTTAAGTAGCCGTATATGTATTCTGCCTTTTAATGATTCTCAGTTACAAGTATTATTATTTGGCCTCCAATTTTGCCTTGATAATATTTTTTTTAAAATTTTTGTGGTGAAGTAGTCGGGCAGTGTGTAATTGCCTTGATAATGAGATCACTGATTTACTGATGGAATCGGATTTATTTGGTGGTACATGGTAAGGTCTTCATGGAGATTGAAGCATAATGCCAACCCATTCAAGAGATGATGGAGCTGATTAATGCCACTTAAACCATACTTTTCGAGAGGTGAACCAAACTGCTGACAGTTTTGATCAACATAACAACAATCATGGTGAAACAAAAAAAAAAATTTTGGAAGGAAAAACTACAGGGAACTGCTAGGGAAATTATCGACAAGCAACAAGTACCTTCTTTTCGAGTTAAGAAATAATGCAACAAGGTGCCGATCCTAAGTGAATGAAGTATATAAATAGCATCAGAGATTCAGTTTGTGAAGGAAAAATCTCACTTTTGTTGTAACACACATGGAAATAGGACACTTGGGACCCATTTGGTTGGGGCTGTGGAAAGAATTGGTCATGGTATAAATTTCATCATTTTTCTATACACTGTTCAATTGACTAGTAGGGAGAATTAATCGTTGTATAAATTCAGCATAGTTTCATGAGAGGAATTGTCATAAAAACCTCCACCAAACTTGAATTGGCCCTACGATCTCCTATTTTCTTTCTCAAATTTCTTTTGGTTTGGAAAATGGCTAAATGAGTGGGGTTAAGGTGGTTGAGGCCTTTTTAACATTTCCAAAACTTATAGGTCAGCTATTAAACATTGAAAACCCTTTATTTCCTTTATTTTTTTCTGCCAATTCCTCTTTCTTCACTTTCTTCTCTCTCACTCACCCACTCAACCACGGTGGTTTCCGGCGGCCTCCGACAAGAATCAAGCTTCGATTTTGGATTGAATCGTCTATATAGACCCAACAAGTACTGTATATTTACTCAGAACTTTCCAATTTTGAGTAAATCCTAAATTTTTATTTTTATTTTGTTTCTTACAACTGTAATTTGGGATTTGTAGAAGGATTCATATATGTGCATTTGCAATTTCAATTTAGTTGTATATAACCATATCTTATGTGGCATGTGTGGTTATATTTCCTTGTTCGATTACCTTTGGGCTCTGTATTTTAAATTTTCGTCAGTCTGGTGACCTAATATTTATTAATAAACCCGTGGTCGATTTTCGTCTGGTCATAGCTGTTTGCTGGAAGTTTCAAATTATTAAATATAATATTACATATTTGCATGTAGGTAACATGAAAAAGAAATCAGTTACTACGATGATGATGAACAAGCTGAAAATGGTGAAGATGAGTTGGAAAGTGAAACAGATGGAGCAGGTGAAGGTGATCAGGATGTTCCGTCAATTCTTGTGTTTGAATTGGTCATGAGACAAACAAAAATATTTGGTGAGCTAGTTGTAATTTGTAATATTTGGATCTACCTTTATGTATTGAAACTATTTTTTGTCGATTAACTGTTGCTGTAATTTTTATTTCGATTCGCTTCCTTTTTGTGTACAACAAGCTAGAGATTGCATAATATATAATGTGTTTCATAATAAACTAGCTATTTAGTTGCGTAATAGACTCAAACTTGCGTCTAATAACTTCATCAAATATCACATTACCAAACAAACAGTTTAATATCCTTCATTCAATAGAACATTACATGATCTAAAACACTTCCAACAAAGAAAACTTAGAATAATTAAACTATTCCTACCAACAACCAATATTTCTTCTCATTTTATCACCCAAGTTGCCACGAATCCGACAACGATGCATAAGAGCATAATCCATTTATTCAGACTCATTTTCTTCATCTTAACCATTCCTCCAACATAATCTTCTAGAGGAATATGCCTTGCCTTCAATTTAATCCTTCCATCAATATCATCTTCTACGTGAACATCAATTGCTAAAATATTTTAAGTTCAGCCACATTTATCTGCAGAACTGTTCTTTCACGCTTAAGATGTCCATTTCATACTTCAAACTGCTGAAAAGGTCAGCAATCCTTGGATCTAGCAGATCATCGTCCCATTCCCAAAACCGACAATTTTACCCTATCCAACAAAATCGAAAATATCTTTTATCACTAAACTTAAAATCCTAAAATAAAATAAAAAGGATGAAAATGTTAAATTTATCTTACATTAGGTTTCAAATATTTTGAGAATCGCTACGGCATTCACTAGGGTTGTAGCTGTAAACTAGCTGGCAGCAATGCGTAGTGATAATTCTTTCTCGACCCAAACGACACACTCGATCCTTGACTCACCTTCTTCCATTGTTTGACTAATTCTTATTCGAAAGTAAAATTGGACTTGAAATGTGAGTAGTTTTGATTTTTAGAATGTCAAATGGGTAATTTTCAACAAGTCAAAAAAAGGTTTGGTTAGGGATAGACCACATAGACATATTTTAATTCATTAACAGTACGTGTTGTCTTTCATCAACCATTAGTCACCAATAAACCCATTTAATGGTCTATAAACCCTAACCCTTAACATTTAACCTAAATCAATAGACATTCTTAATGGTCGAATGTCAACTTTAGGTTGATCTTCCACTCTTACTATGGTCGAGAATAAACATATGATCGAGAATTCACTAAAATAATAATTACACTATGTTCGACCTTGTTTTTTTGATTTCATATCTTTTAAACATCTTATTAATCATCACGGAATATTTAAAGAATTGACAATGTATTTCATACCATTAAGAGTTGGTCATTCTACAACATGCAATAAAGAGTGTTGTATAGTGAAATGATGTCAACAATTAATACCTCTAAGTAGTTGAGTATTGTATAATGAATATTGGGCCATATTATTACTATGTGTTGATATTAAGTGATGTTTTTGAACGATTATAATAGGTAATTAGTTGTCAAATTGCATATATTGCCTTAACATTTTGTTATAATAATGGACATTGACTATATAATGATAGTTGTGTTAACCAATTACCGGCTTAGGTAATTACCGATATGATTGATATGTAATACTACTACATTTAATCCAATTCAAAGTGTCAATTACCTAATAATGATGAATAAGTACAACTTTAGATTATTCACAAACAATTATCGTATTTGTACTAATGTAACTAAATTACTATTCTACACTAACGAACAACTAATCTTAATTCTTTAACTTGAGTAAATGAAGGGGTAAATTCAAGTTATTTTAACACTTCGATCATTGGTGGAGAATATACCTACAACGGAGTTGAGTGTATCCGATCATCTATTGATTCACATTAACAATAGAATTATAGACTTCCACTGGGGTAGAGTATAGACTGTAGATTTCTTTAAAAATTCACCTGTAAATTTTCAAATTCATTGGCGAAAAATTCAAATATTTTAAATTTTAAAAAAATTATATTCCATGTGCTCTTTATTCTGCTTTGGTTTTTTTTGTATGTTAGTATTATAAAATGTCCACAAAAAAAAAAAAAATACAAGGCAGAAAAATAAATTAGGAACTAAAAGACAACAAGTAAAATAATTTTTTTTTTATTATCTCCCTTCATAGTAGCATACATTTTTCCCATACAAGGCAGGAAAATAAATTAGCGAATGTTGCTCTCTTGCCTGACCCTGTCTTCTTGGATCTCTCGAATAAGTCTATCTAGTGACTCCCCGATGAAGATTGCATCCATGTTTGGCCTAGGCCACAAAGGCATTTATCTGTTAAGTGACTGAGTTGTCTGTTTGCACTAGTTTACTTGGGAGAATGATGAATAATTTTGGATTAGATCTACTATATGTATAGGCAGATTTTCACACTAAATGGTTCATTTCCATATGCGTTCTCGTAATGACGTGATTGTTGGGAGTTTCCATAATCAATGGGATGTTTTAAATCGGCATATTTAATGGATTTCAATTTATTAGACAAGCCCTTTGCAGATGGGACATTTATTTTTGTCCTTTTTCCTGGTGCTAGAAGAAATATATACAATTGCTGGGTATGCTGATATGTATTGTAACCTTTGTATAGGAATTCCAATTCCAACTATTTTGCCCCTCAACCCATTCGTCGGAATAGAAATCGCATTGTATGGGGTCAAATTTGACCGTCAGCATCTCTACGCCAGAGGGTACGCCCAGTGAGTGTACGCCGACTAACATAGCGGGTACGACTCGGACGCGGGGACAAAAGCGACATCGTTTAGGACTCAGTGTCTTCACTAGGGAGACGTTACCTGTCTTTACTAGGGAGACGTTACCTGTCTTTGTAACTTTTTGATTCTTTTGAGGAAGGTCTCTTTTATATATAGGAGACCTTCACATTGTAAAGGGGGGGACACTGATATAATGTAACTCTCTCATTTTCTGGATTTATCTCTCTATCTCTACCTTAAACGAACATATTCTATTGAGTTCATATTATCACTTTGCAATACTAGATCTACAACAATAACATCATCTTAGCATCTCTAGGTTTATTATATTTGATTACGATTTACCCTTTTCTTACTTTTGATTGTTTTCTAGCTTACCAAGTATATTGTTAACTTTTGAGCCAAATACACATACTAATATATAATCTCTCATCAATCTATTATGAACCAGCGGTCTATTGTACAATAATTGTCGAGTACTGTGCATAGAAAATCTGCAAAAACCCAAATTAATAATGATGATGAGATGCAAACACTTATCAGAAGAAGGAATTACACAATATACCACGTAAAATGAAGTACCAATCTAATGTACCGTCAATTACATCCCCAAATCGACAGATCTAAAAATTCGTACTTCCTCTGCATAACCAATAAATTAAAAGAATGATACTTTGAGAAGAATGAGGAATAAGGGAAATGACCTCTATGTAAGGAATGAAAGAAAAATACGTTACAATGGGGGATTCAATCGTGGAAAATGGGGATTGGGAAGTGCTGAAACGACGAGAATCATTTTTTCTTTTTTAATTCTGGAAATATTACTTTTATATAGGTTGGAGCTAAAGTATAATAAGTAAAACATTAGGGATAAAGTTTAAACTTCCCCCTTCACTTTATAATTAACCCAAATCCCATTTAAGCAATAATTAAGCAAGAAGGTTATTCCTACAATATTAACACGAAGGTCAATTTGCAATTCAAGTTATAGAAAGGGTCAGGTGGCCAGAGGTCCTAGTTTCATTCATTGTTTGGGTGCTATTTTGGTTCTCCCAATACCTACGTAAGCTATGCGGGAATTTATATATTATTTGACGTGGAATAAAATATGAAGTATACGAGTATTATCAATGCATGAATTAAATCAACTAAAATGACAAAAAAATACCCTCTTGATCTTATAACTAATTCTTTATTACAACAAATTAAATATTTCATTACAAATAATTCCTTCATTGTGATTCTTAAATTGTTAATCTATGCATCAATTCATCCTTTACTAAGTTCTACTTACAATCCTTACATTATTAAATTTGATTATAATCCATACAATTATTAATTCATGTATTTTTGAAAGCTTCATAGAAAAGTCAAGATAAAACTTAAATAATTTCCGAGGGAAGGCCATATCCTTGTAATTTTTGGAGATGTTATATGGAATGGACCAATTGGGTGGTTTAAATTTCCCCCCCCCCAGAAATTAAAGAAAAATAAATTATGAAAATTAAAGATAATATATTAATTGCGTAGCCTATTTGGTCAAGCTTTTAAAATGTGCTTATTCTATTTTTTTGATAGAAGTGCTTATCGAAAAAATACTTTCATAAAAAAATATTTTGTGTTTGATTACTTAATTTGAAAAGCATATTTGCTAATGTCAAAGCAACAATTTTTGCTTGTCTAAGGTCCTAAAAATATTTATGAGGAAAAATTACTTTTAGCTTTTGAAAAACAACTTCTACTTGCTACTCAAAAACATTTAACTTTTCCTAAAAGTTTAGTCAAACACAAGACCACATTAAACATCATCACAATACGTAGGTTAAGTGAAAGTCCACCCCTTGCCATGTCCAACTGTATATTCAACATAGTGTTTGATCTAATGCAAATTTAAGATGGGAAACTTATGTATATTTTAATTGTAATGAAAGAGTTAATAAAATAACGGTTGAACATAAGCTTTATTTGATAAATAATATTGTCAATTAAATTAAATATTTTAAAACTTCTGAGATCGCGTGTAGAGTATAGAAGTAGAACAGTAGAACGAACCCCAAGATTCCGCTAAATCTCGAGTGCAACGACGTCGTCCGCATCAAATCATCTTTACCAAAAAAAGCAAAAACCCCGTTTTCTCGTTTCTCTTCTTACCCTGCTTTCAAGGCTCCTCCGCCTAAAATCCAATTAACCAAGAACTGTCCTCCTTCCCTCGATTTTGAAAATAAAAAAAAAAAGTTATACTCCGAACAAAGAGAGAGAGAGAGAGAGAAAATGGAAGACGAAGAGGACAAACCCATTGAAATGGAAGAACAACAACAAGATGCAGTAGAAAAGGCTTCTCCTTCTGCTTCCGATGATTCTTTTATTAACGATGATGATGATTCTGATGATGACAATCAACAATCTCCTCCTGAGGTTTAGCATTACCCACCCCTTCCCATATTTCTTTTTTGTTTTTTGGTTTGGACGACTGATATTTAGTTTGCCTTGATTTGGATTGTAGGAACCATTAACTGATAAGGAAATTGAGGAGCTCATTGCTGAGCTTTTAGAAACTGAGAGTAAGGTTTGGCATTTTACTGCTTTCTTTTTTTCCCCTTAAAGATTGAATTTTGTGGGCTGCACTTGTCTTTTAGCTTGTTGGGTTATGAATGTTATAGGCTGCAGAGGCTCAAGAGGCTTTAGAAGAAGAGTCAATAGCTAAAGTCGAGGCTGATGTTAGGGCTGAGTTGGCACAATCTCTTTCAGGGGATGAGGTACATTTTCAGTCTTCCTTCACCCCCCCCCCCCCCCCCCATGTATATAAAGCTATAAACCCCTTTAAATTTGGTCATTGCAGTTGGAAAAAGCTGTAGCTGATGAAATGGCAATCTTTAAAGAAGACTGGGAAAATGTTCTTGATGAACTGGAGACTGAGAGTGCTCATTTGTTGGTAATTGCTTTACTGCTTTTTCTGTTAAATGAGTTTGTTGATTTTCTCGTTATGAATTAAATCAACTCTGAAGGATGACTACAAGCATAAAAGGAGCTTTACCCGCTTTGTTTTCAAACTGGAATATCTGAATGAACACAAACTGATATCTTTTCCTGCTAGTTCTGATAATAGCATGCTTAAGACATTTAGTTTACAGCAGTTATGTATTGGGCAATGGGTAAAGAACACTGAAACAAGAGCATAAAGGATATTATTTGCTTTTAGTGAAGTTGATAGGGCGACCTAGCAGTAATTTTATAGTAATAATATTTTATCACCACTACTATTTCTACTACTACTACTTCTACTACTATAATTATTACTACTATTATTGTTGTAGCGCCAGTATTTGGACCAAAGTGCCTAACATTTACTAATACACTAGGTACCTGTACCTCCCACCAACATAGGTATCAAGTAACATTGTCTACAATGCTTAGGCAAATAGGAAGAGTTCACCACCTAGTGTCGCTTCTGCTGAATCCAAATCTTGGTTCTAAGTTCCCTACTTTTTAGTATTTATGATGTTTGGAGCTCTTCATTCAGGTTTCTGCTTAGTTTTGTTCACATGCTGATATTATTAGGAGCAACTGGATGGTGCTGGTATTGAACTCCCTAGTCTCTATAAGTGGATAGAGAGTCAGGCTCCTAATGGTTGCTGCACTGAAGCATGGAAAAACAGGACTCAGTGGGTTGGTTCTGAATTGACAAATGACATCACTGGAGCAATTGCTGACGCTGAGAAGTATCTTCAGATCCACAGGCCTGTAAGAAGGCAAGTGACTCCACCTATCTTAGTATAGTTACTAACTCAATGGTAAACCAGTCGTGTGTTCTGACTTTGGCCACTGTTTTTTTTGGGCAGGCGGCATGGAAAAGTTTTGGAGGAGGGTGCCAGTGGTTTCTTGGCAAAAAAACTTGCTGGAAATGATGGCAGTGAGGCTCAGGGAGGGAGCAGTGATGTAGATTGGGGCTCTTTCAGCAAATTATGTTCTGATAACTCGTCATCATCCATGGGTACCAATTCATTTGGCAGCAAAGATTGGGCCTCTGTTTACCTCGCTAGTACACCACAACAAGCTGCTGAACTGGGACTAAAATTTCCTGGAGTGGACGAGGTGAATCAATTTGATTTGATTTTGTTATGATTTGTTGAGGCACGTCCTTCTTGCACGTTTTCACATTTTAATACATGAATAACATTCTTTTATTTAATTTTCCTTGCATGGTTCAATTGCAACCTCTATATCTTACTGAAGTTGCGCCTGAAACTTGACCTTTAATCTTCCTTACCCTCTCCTGGTCATTCTTTATTTTAATATTGCTCTAGCTCACTGGAGTTGCCTCTGAAACACGACTTTCGTTCTTCCTTACCCTCTTCTACCCAATAGCTTACAAACTATTATAGATGGTGGCCTTTCCACTTAACACCACATGGCCAAAGGAATGTTGACCACAATTCCCAGTGCCAATGAGCAATGTAAGAAAATTTTGGTCTCCTGAGCATAGAGGTCTTTGAGCGAGGATCTATATATGGATCGGAATCATTGATGCTGTGCAGCCAAAAGAAGCGACAATGGAAGGAAAATAAATGTATATTGCTGAATATTGTGGGCAGTTAGTTTGAGAAATGCTAAATGCTACAAAATCATTGGTGTAGGGAATTTGACCAGGATTTCCCATCTGGAGGTGTAAACAAGCTGAGCCGAGTCAGAAAAAAAGAAAAGCCAAGAAAAATTTAGCTGGCCCGAGCTTGAGTGAGCCAAATATTTAAGGCTTGAGCTTGACATGGTGCTATATTTGAACATCTCATGTTTCGGATTCAAAAATATAACACCATCAGTGTAACCAACCAAGGTCTAGCAATTTTTTCAATCAACCATAGTAGAACAAAGACCAAAACTAATTATCTTCTTATCAGCTACTCTTAATAAGAATAAAAATCTTAGAATGTATGGCTACTCTTCTTTAATTCAAAGGAGCTACCGTCTTAGAGATTTTGAATATAGATGGAGAAGAAAGCGAGATGCTGGGAGGGACCTTGCATCATCAAAGGAGGCATTTAGTGAGGAGAGGCATGAGAAGGTAGCTCATGGTGTTGTTGTGATGTGCAAAGAGAGGAGCAAATGATGGTGTACTGATAAAACATGTTAGGTTATTTCTTTCTTTCTGCCTAATCCTAGGAGTCCAACCTTATTTAAAAAGAGGTGCAGTGAAGCAATGAATGAGACTAGGAGTCGAGAAGTTGAGTAGAAACAAGGTCGCTATTGTTGTATGATGTGCAAGATTTTTAAGATGAAAGAGATGATGCCTACAGTTAGCATCGTGTTGGGTGTACTCTATCTAATCAAGTACTTTTTGGATTTCTATTTATGGAATTTCTTTTATTTTTATGTATTGAGATAATGATTGGGGAGTTGTTGATTGTGGTATAGAAGAAAGATTGTAATTGAACAAAAAATTGAAGCTCAAATAGGCATATATCCTTTCAACTTCAAGCTGCGTATTTTGAGGTTCAAGATGGTTGTATCCATGCTCTAGCAGCTCGAGCTTGAAATGGTTCAGTGCAAGCTTGGCAATCATTCAATCTGACTTGGCAATTTACACCCCTAAGAACAATTTCCTTCAGGGGCTGGTGTATAGTTTGTTAATATGGAAGTGATTAATAACATGACATGTAAAAGAAAGAACAACAAAGGAGGGCAAAAGCAAGAAAACGATAGCAAAAGAAGCACGGGTCTGGAAAAAACATTGTTGATTGATCTCTTCCATACTTAATATCAATGTTCTGCCATATGCTTCATTTCCGTACTGAACCTCCACAACCATTTACAAAGCAAGCTTTTTTTTTTTGTGTAGTTTGAGGTTCTTCACCCCTAACCAACCTATTTCTTTACTACTGCACACTGTACTTCACTTCACTAAATGACTCTTTTTTGCTGAGTAGCCGTCCCATAAAAATTCCCTTCTGATTTTGTGAATTTGCTTCGCCACTTCTGCTGAAATGGGCAATAAAGACGGTAGATAAGCGGAGATACCATCTATCACACTATTATTCAAAGTAAACCTCCTACCAAGAGACAAGTATTGCTGCTTCTAGGGGGCTAACTTCGTCTCACACTTTCAATAACTCCTTGCCATACACTTCTGTGATTTTGTCTTGCACGCAATGGTAGCCCTAGATAGGTAGTAGGGAACTTCTCAAGTTTTACCTTTGCCAAAACTCCAATGTGAATTTCAGCATTAATAGAGAGGATGAAACTTTTGGACAGATTTACTTTCAGGCCAGTAACAACTCTCAAATGTAGTATTTGCTCCTTGTCTGCTTCACTTAACAACATGGTGTCATCGGCATACAATAATTGAGATATTTCTACCTATCTTCCATCTGAAGTAAAACCTTTAATCCATCCCTTTTCAGTAGCATTCTTTAACACACTGTCTAAAATTTCCATCACAATGGAGAAAGAGTATCACCTTGCTTTAATCCCCTTTGTGACTTGAAATATCCTTCTGGACTTCCACTAACCGAGATTGAAAATCTCATTCTAGAGATGCGCATCTTAATCCATTGAGTCCACTTATCACCAAATTCATCCACTTTAGAATCTTCAAGAGACAAGACCTACTCACGTGATCATAAGCTTTTTCTTAGTCAAGGTTGCATTGATACACCCCCAGATGTACCTCTTTTCCAGTTTTGATCAACGTATTCATTGGCCAATAAGCATCCACTTTCTGTCTTCCTTCGGGAAGCCTTTTGGCTTCCAGACACGAGCTTATTCATTACCTTCTTTAGCCTCTCGGTGAGAACCTTTGCAGTGATCATATATACACTACTTCTAAGCAAGCTTATAGGCCTGAAATCTTCAATGTTTATAACATCTATCTTTTTAGGAATAAGAGCTAGAAAAGTGGCATTTAAGCTTCTTTTCACGTCAAAATTCTTCATTATATCTTCCTTTACTATGTGCCAACATCTTTGGAAAAAGTCATATTGAATCCATCCGGGCCTGGTGCGCAATCCACCATTTTCAGCACCTCTACCACTTCTTCCGGAAAGGCCTCTGGATTCACATTTTGATGGCCTCCATTTACCTTTTAAGAAAACAAACCTTGATACAAATCTAGGATGTGTTCTTTAATTACCTTTTTATCTTCAAAGACACTGCCTTGCACTTCAAGTCTGTCAATACAATATTACCTTTTGCGCATTTGGTAATCTATTGGAAAATCTGCATTTTATCCCTTCTTTAATCTACAAAAATGTTGATTTTTGCTTCCATGATATCTCCTCGGCTCTAGCAATCTCTTCCAACTCCTTAGTTAATAATGTTTTCCCAGAATTTACAGCAGCAACACCATATTCTGGTTCCTGCATCTGTTCCATTTCTTCTAAATCCTTCAAAATCTGATTCTTTCTAACTTCCGATCAATGTTTCAAAAGCCGAGGCATTTTATCTATCATAGAGCGAGGCAAAAACCTAGAGACTATTTGCATTAAAATTGTAGAAAATTGTAAAAGTATATATATATATCTGTATAAACATGCTAACATGTGCGTAAACATGATAATTTTTTTTCTACTAGGAGAAGTGAAAGGGGTAAAGATGTTTTACACCTATAGCATGACTATGATCGAACATACTTAGAGTTGTAAAAATGATACTCTAATTCCTAGTAGGTCAAAAATTTAAAATAAAAATATTATAAAGTTATTATTGGAAAACCTAAATCTAGAAAACAAATCACGAATACTCATTATAATACAAACAAAACATTTTCAGGAATAGATTTTCCAAAACAATATCTAATCTAGAGTGATACCAAAATTAATTCTAAAATAAAAAACTAACTTTGAAAAGAATAAACCAAAGAGAGCCAAAAAAGTAAAAAGAAACTTGAGGAAAATGAGGCATAAATAAGGATGATGCAAGCCTGGAAGCAGATCAAGCGTTGGAGGACAAAGCTCTTGCTTTTTATAGTTTGTGCTTTGAAGACAAAAGGCCGAAGAATATTTGTTACTCAGTAAACGACAAAGAGAAATGATTTTGAAATTAGGGCAAGCAATTAGAAAAAGCCTTTTTCTGAGATGGAATTTCTTTTTTTTGAGATGGGAGTTAGAAAAAGCCTTTGCCTTTTGAGTTTTTTCAATTTGAAAATTTACTGAGTTAACTTTGAGTTTAAGTATTAATAAAAGGAATTATTAAGCAATTATGGCTCTATTCTGAATAAATTCTCTGGGGTGTAACCCCAATGAATGCCCAGAAAGTTAGGACTTACGCCTAAGAAAACGCCCAGAAGGCTGGGACTTGTGCACCCACAAGGCTTGCGCTCCACGTGTATGCCGCATTGCGTTTTTAGTGCGCCTCGCCGTAGGGCTAGCCCATAAAATGCCTTTTAAAACACTACTTCCAATCTTCCGTAGACTTCTTGATTCCATTCCTCAAATCTTCAATATTTTCTATTTCCTTGCTAAAATCAGATCTTGCCTGCATTGAATATCGTAAGACTTCCACCAACTCCACTGATTACCAAGATTTTCATGCTCTAGCCACATGTTCTCGAATTTAAAGTATACACTTCCCCTAGAAAGATATTGTTGTTTTCTTTTAATATATTTTTACTGAATTGGGGAGTCCTAGAAAGATATTATTGTACAAAATAGATTAATAGATTGTAAAAACGATTAAAATAAGAGTATAAAAGAATAATGAAAGATCATTTATAACGAAGCAAATGATATCAATTTAATCTTGCAATTTTATAAAATTTTTATTTTCTATTTGATGTCTATCGGAAACAGCTGTCTACCTCACACAAGGTAGGGGTAGGTTTGCTTACACGCCACCCTCCTAGACCCCACTTGTGAGACCACGCTGAGTATATTGTTGTATTATTTTTTCTTTGGTCTATTTATTTTGAGATAGCCTTGATGCTACTTTGCTTTTGCTTTTCATAATCGTCAAGTGGGAATTTATGAAATTAGTTCCTGATTTATACCAGCTTCATGACAAGTATATCTGTAAACTTACATGGTATACGAAATGCCAAAAACTTTTGCCGCATAATCACAGTTTTGAGTTTTATATCATTTTCTTTACTTCAGAGGGTCTTTGTTTAATTCGCATGGCCAACTAATTAAAAAGTGCTTTGGTCTTATATGCGATTCAATCTCAGGTTGAGGAGATTGATGATATTGAAGACAGTTCTGTTGATCCATTTGTTGCAGATGCCATTGCAAATGAAAGAGAGCTAAATCTTTCTGAAGAGCAAAAGAGGAAGTATAAGAAGGTCTGTGAATGGTATATTCTAGTTCTTTTCTTTGACATTGATACTTCATTTCTTGAAGATATGGAGCCGGATGAAGTGTTCATTGCACCTTTTTTTTCCCTTCCTTTTTACCACACTCTTTCTTTTTCTTTTAAGCACCCTTTAAATGACCATTTGTTTCTTCTTCAAATTCTCTGCTGATGAGAGGTAACTTCTGGTGTTATAACTGGGCTGTCGATTCAACTTATGACAATTTTTTTTACTTCTCTCTCTTCCAGGTTAAAGAGGAAGATGATCTAAAAATTGATCTGAAGCTTCGGAGACGTTTAAAACAAAGAAGACACAGGAACATGCAGAAATTGGTAATTAGCATGCTCTGAGCTCTCTTTTTAGTATCTAATAAGTTTCTTAAAGTGTTATTAGGAAAGGATTTCTGAAAGTGTATCAGTCGCGAAGGACTTGAGCCGTTTTACTTCAGGGTGATCTGTTATGAGCTAACAATATGACCCTCTGAAAATTCACTACTGCCACGGGGGATATCAGATAGACTTTATGTCACGACCCCAACCGGCGTTAAGTCAAGCATGGTTCACCTAGCCACCTGGCCATTTTTGGCACAAAACTCTGATAGTCTCCTCTGTGCTTAGAGCATTCCGATAATCATGTTATTAGCCAATCACAACAACACAAATTTTATGCACCAATATCACTAGCTACAAACCAAAGGTACTAACAATTAATTTTCAATAATCAACTGACACAAGACTCACAAAATCAATTCTATAATCTCCAAGAATGATTAGTGGAGCATAATTCTAGAGTCTAACAAAATAATAGAAGATACTGCCCACACATTACAGGTTAGGCTTACTTTGATAACTATCTACTAGTTGTCACGCGGTTGGAGTAGTATTAACCATGTCAACTAGTGAATAATGATGATGAGAAGAGGGGGTTAGTCACACTGACAAGTGAGTGGATAACTCAACTATAACCGTTTTATCCATTTATCATGGATAAGTATATACATACATATAACATAAGATTCTGGTAGTAAAAAGTTATTAGTGGATGCCTTTGAATATGCTCCCAGGTACAAGTTCCAAGGTGAGAGCCTAAAAACTCTCCCTGGTATCGTTTCTCTTTCTTTCTGATGATCTTTCCCTTGGTTACTTAGTTTTTTTATCAATCATGTCTTGGTGATTGCCCCAAAAACTTCGTCTTGTTTTTCCCTTTCTTCCAAAATTATGGTTAATAGAATATATTTTATTATTGGTGAGAAGTCTTTTGACATTACTGAAGTCAAAAATGGTGCAGAGGTTTGGTACGAATGGGTGGGAAAACAAGAAGAATTTCATGTGGAAAATGACTCTCAGTCGAAATGTCATGCTATGGTTTTGCGGTCTTCTTCATACAACATCTGATCGAAAGGGGAATGAACTCAGAAGGTGGAAGTCCAGAGATCATGACTACAATTTCTTCTGTACAAAGAAATACATTGATTTTGGCAGATATATAAGCATTGTAGCGGTACAGGGGAACGTAGAGCTGTCATAATCCTTCCAGAAGCAGCATTCAATGTGGGACGGAGAGACGTTGCATTAAAGATAGAGAAGTTCATAAATAAGGTGGCTTCAGCTGTGAAAAGCTTTGTCAAACCAACAGAGGAGCACTCTTATATGAAAGCATTCAAAACCGATAAGTGGGAGGCAAAAGGAACCTGGACGTCGTTTGCACAAACCACTTTTGGTCAACGCGCTATTGTGCAAGGAGCTGAAATTTCCGATAAGGATTTACTGAGCAGATGTTTGGTTGGCAGCTTCAGTGATACGAAGGAGTTGCCCACTCTCTCCGACATGAGGAGATGGGTCACTAACAAATGGAGCAATATCCCTGGCATACAGATGTACGAAATTCATGGCTCAAAATTCTTGTTCGAGTTTCCGTCAAGGAAAATGGTAGACCATATCAAAATGGGGAATGGAGATGGAGGAACAAACTGCTGATGCTTGAATGGTGGTCGCCGACAATAGGCTGTTATCCGGCTGAGGCAAAGCTGGACTGGGTTTGGGTGAGATTACTGGTGACTCCTCTTCACCTGTGGTCCCAGAAAATCTTCAAGCTCATTGGGGATAAATGCGGGGGATGGATTGAAACGGAGAAGGAAACTTCTCTCAGGAATCATTTAAAATGGGCTCGAATCAAAGTGAAGGGCCCATCCGAAAGAATCCCAAGAGTCAGAGAGGTGGAGAAAAATGGCATAATTTTATCTGTGCCGATCTGGTGCGAATCGCCGGCGACCTGGTGCAGTGATGAAATTGCATCAGAGAGATTTGAAATTTCTAGGGGTCCTAACCCTAGAAATACAGCTATGGGTCTGGAAAGTAAGAGGCACGTGGCTCAAGAGTCACGTGACATTGAGGTGGGACCTTCTTTTAAAAAAGGTTCACATGCTATTGCGGAGTCATCTAACGGGCCTAGTAAAATTAAAAGTCCCCTATTTCTTTCACTAAGCCCATCCCGACTTTTAAGAGAAGCCCAGATCTGGGAATAAGAAACAGATTCTCGGTTCTCTTCCCAGGGGACAGACCCGACCCAATGTTGGAGGAACTTTATGCAATTCATAACTCAATGGACATTGTTCTATCAGAAGATCCATCTGAGACAGAAGATCCACCACGTCTCTCAGATGCAACAGAGGAATTGGCTTTGCATGGTGGATTCGAAGAAGAAGGTCAAGCTTTAGTGGGTGGCAAAATCATTCCCTTCTCTCCTCTACCCAAGAATTCCCTACAATTGTCAACGTATGAAGATCAAGAGGCATGGTCTGTTGATGAAGTAGAACCCTTGGACTCTCAATTTCTAGAGGCGGAAATGGAAGCTTCCTTATGGGTGCACAAAAATGTTTTGAAGATGAGCAAAGCATACGGAGTGAACTTTCAGGGGTGCGAGGGAGAAGCTCTGTCTCTCTTCGTGAAAATTGATAAGTGCAAATTAGAGATAAGAGAGAAGCTGCTTTAAAGATTGTGTCGACTCCAAAAAAGAAGAAGGGGAGCATGGAAGTTCAGAATCTGGTGTTCAACATGAATTTCCAAAGTCCAGTACAAGGAGCAGGGGAAAATCTACCTTCAATTATTATCAATGAAGGTAAAAATCATTTCTTGGAACGTGAGGGGATTAAACAGAAGGGATAACAAATCTATTGTCAAGTCTCTAATTGAGAGTTAGAAGGCCGATATCTACTGCTTACAAGAATCGAAATTGGAAGGAGATGTGCAGAGTTTTATGAAACAAATTTGGGGGTTCAGGTGGGTCAAATTTGGCTGTTTGGAAGCTAGCGACAGTATAGGGGTATCTTGGTTCTCTGGGACAGTAGATCCTGGAAAGGGGAGGTGATTAATGTAGGTAGTTATTCTATCACTGTTAAGTTTGATGCCCAGGGCTATAATTTCTCCCGACACTTGATTGGAGTTTACTCTCCGCATTGTAGACTTGAAAGAAGGAATGTTTGGTGGGAAGTTGCTGCTTCCGTAGATCTTTCGATGGTCCATGGGTTGTTTGCGGAGATTTCACTGTTACTAGGTTTATGGAGGAAAGAAGGGACAACAACATCATATCAAGAGCCATGATTGAGTTCTCCAATTTCATTGAGGACATTGAGCTCCTCGACCCTCCGCTTTTAGGGGGAGTGTTTACATGGACCAGGAGCAACAATTCTCATATTCCTTCTAGATTGGACAATTTTTGTTCTCTTGTGATTGGGATGAGAGCTTTAGGAACAAAAGGCAGTCCGTGCTTCCCAAACCTGTCTCTAACCACACCCCCTTTTTGCTTAATTGCGGTGATCGGGAGAACTCTAAATCTTATTTCAAGTTTCAGAACAGGTGGTTGGGAGTTGAGGGCTTTAAGGACACGGTAGCTTGTGGTGGTCATCCTTCAATGTTTAGGGGAGACCCGACTTTATTCTCGCCCAGAAACTCAAGCTCTTAAAAGGCAAATTAAGAGATTGGAGTTTAACTCAAGTAAGGTACCTGTCAGCTTTGAAAACTGATTGTCTTAATAATATCCTGGTACTACAAATTGCCCAGGAGACCAGTAATGTCTGAAGACGAACTGATAGCAAGCCTCACTATGGATCTAGAAGAAATTGCAAAGCATGAGGAGTTACCCTGGAGACAAAAATCAAGAGTACAATGGTTGAAACAAGGGGACAAAAACACAAATTTCTTCCACAATGTGGCAAATGCTAATAGAAGGTTCAATGCAATCGATAGACTCATCATTAATAGGGTTCACGTTTAGGATTTAACTACAATCAAAAGTGAGATCCTTAATTTTTACCTGTATAGCGAGTTAGAATTATGGAGGCCTGAGTTCAACTATAGTCAATCCCCTCAACTAAATAACTCAGAAGTGGAGTGGTTGGAGCGGGATTTGATGAGCAGGAAATTTTGAATGGGCTTAAAGCATGTGCAGTCGACAAAGCTCCTGGACCTGATGGATACACCATGGGTTTCTTCTTACACTGTTGGGATGCACTAAAAGAAGATCTGGTGAATACTTTTCAGAATTTTCATTCAAAAGAATATTTTGAGAAAAGTTTCAATGCTACCTATATAGCTATGATTCCTAAAAAGGTTGGTGCAGCTGAGTTGAAGGATTTTAGACCTATTAGTCTGATTGGCAGTGTCTACAAGATCATTTCTAGGGTGCTGACTGAAAGACTGAAGAAGGTGGTCTATAAACTTGTGGACTCTCAACAGATGGCCTTCATCAAAGGCAGGCAAATCATGGATGCAACTTTAATAGCTAATTGAATGTGTTGACTCCAGAATTAGGGGGAAAGATCCAGGGGTGCTAGTGCAAACTTAATATAGAAAAAGCTTTTGATTACGTAAACTGGAATTACCTTATCAAGCTGTTGAAAGATATGGGTTTCGGTTGCAAATGGATTAAGTGGATTCACTTCTGCATTAGTAATGTTAGATTCTCCATTCTTGTGAATGGCACTCAAGAGGGGTTCTTTCCATCTCAAAGAGGATTAAGGCAAGGAGACCTACTCTCACCTTTCATCTTCATTATTGCCATGGAAGGTTTGAATAGCATGATCAAGAAAGCAACTCTTGAAGGTTGGCTGAGAGGCTTCAGGGTGCTCAACAATGACAGAAGTAATCTGGAAATTACTCACTTACTATATGCTGATGATTCACTGGTTTTCTGTGATGCCAAAGTAGAGCAAATTACACACCTGAGGTTGATTCTGACTGTGTTTGAAGCTGTGTCAGGTTTACATGTAAACTGGAGAAAATCCCATTTGTTTACTGTGAACGAGGTTCCAGACATTCAAAGACTAGCAGGATTTTTAGGTTGTGAGGTGGGGACTCTACCTACTACATATCTGGGGTTACCTCTAGGGGCTAAAAATAAGTCTCAACAGATATGGAATGGAATTGTGGAAAGGTGAGAAGAAACTATCTAATTGGAAAAGCAATTACTTGTCCTGGGAGGTAGGGTTGTCCTGGTTAATAGTGTTCTAGATGCTCTTCCCACTTGCATGATGTCTCTCTTTCCCATGCCAGTCAAGGTTAATCGACGCTCTGAGGAGGAACTTCATTTTGGCAAGGAAACAAGAAGAAGAAAAGTTACCACTTGGTCAAGTGGGAAGCTCTCACATGCAGCAAGAAGGAAGGGGGCTTGGGTATTAGAAACCTAAGGCAACATAACAAGAGTCTTTTAATGAACTGGTTGTGGAGATTCCCTCTGGAAGACCAAGCCCTATGGAGGAAGGTGATCAATGAAAAATATGGGACTGTGGGGCAGTGGTGCATAAGTTCTGTTACCAGCTCATATAGAGTGAGTGTTTGGAAATCAGTAAGTGCCCTATGGCAAGATTTTGCTTCCAACATCAGTTTCAAAACTACGAATGGCACGAAGCTCTCCTTCTAGAATGATGATTGGATAGGAAATGGTCCCCTCAGGATATTTTCAGCTTAGCACAACAACCTGATGCAACTCTAACTGAAACTTGGAGCCTACAAGGTTGGAACCTAACCTTTAGAAGATTTCTGAATGACCGGGAGGTGAGTAGAGTGACTGATTTCTGAATGACTGGGAAGTGAGTAGAGTGACTAATTTCTTCAGTCTTCTACAGAACTTCAGGGGAACTACTGAACAAGAAGATAAGCTGGTGTGGGTTAGAAGCAACAATGGTATCTTTACAGTAAAGTCAGAATACATGATTTTAAACAGATGTGACCAGAACTATGGCCTCCGGCATTGGAAACATATTTGGAAGGCAAAAGTCCCCCTAAAGGTGACAATTTTTTGCTGGTTAGTACTTAGTAGTCAAAAAGGCTGTTTCAACTCATGAAAATTTGATGAAGAGAGGAATACAACTATGCTCAAGATGTTTTTTGTGCGGCAATAAGAATGAGACAACCAGCCATTTGTTCATTCACTGCCAGGTGACTAGCAGATTGTGGCAGCTGTTCATGAGTATGAAAGGCCTAAGCTGGACAATGCCTAGGAGAACTGATGAGATGATGGCAAGCTGGAATGGCTCCGGGATAATCACATGCCAAAAGAAGTGGTGGAACATTGTCCCAGCATGTATTTGGTGGACCATTTGGAAGGAAAGAAACTCTAGATGTTCTGAAGATGTGGCAAGCCATGAATAAAGGATTAAGATGAATTGTACATTTTTGTTTTATTTTTGGTGTAAAGAAGCACTTGTACAAGATGTACAATCTCTAGTAGATCTCATAGGCTCCTTGTAGCTGTTACAAGATTGGTGTTTCTCTATTTTGGGTCTTGTAACTTGCTACTCCTTAGCACAATCTTTGTGCTAGGGCCTAATTTTATTTCAAAAAAAATGTATATACATACATATACGATATGAAAACATGCTCAATTCGTATCAAAGTAACATGGGGGTACAAGTCAACATAACATAATAATTGAGCAACAAAAGTAATACTCTGCAGTTTAATTTAAATAATTTTACATCTCAAACTGCAGAGGAGTTTCTAAAGCTAGAATAGATATCAAACCGTCAATGTGGTTGTCAGCATAGCCGTCTAGCGAAGCCTATCGCACTTGTTGCTAGTTCTTTTCTTCCTAATAACGAAGGCGCAACATTATATCATTACTGTACAAGGTGCACCAGGTAACGAAACTCGTCGCTAGATAATGGTTCTTTAATAAGGCAAAATAATTTTATTGATATTGGGAAATTCCGGTATACAAGAAATATACCAAAAAGTAGAGACCCTACAATAAAACTTGGTTCTCTACGAAAGTCACTCTCATCTATACAAGTCAAAGTTCAAGGTTGCACCAAAAGGAAACTAGAGTCAACAAGCTATTTCTCATATAAACAAAATTATTCTCTACCCCTTCGAACGCCCTTCTATTTCGCTCATGCCAAACTACTCACATAAGAGCTTGGAGACAATATCCCATTTTGATGGTCTTCTACCCCTTCAAACGCTCTTCTATTTTGCTCATGCCAAACTACTCACATAATGGCTGGCAAATTCCCATTTTGATGATCTTTTCCTACTTTTGAAAGTCAAACTGAATGACGCTTCCTTTGTATTCTGAACCAATTCCAAACCATCCACCACAAGCGCGCTGCATCCGCATCTTCTCTGACTCATCTATACATGGTTTCTCCCTGCTGATTCTCTTGCTGCCAACCACACAAAGAAGCGCACTGTCGTTAGGTAACGATGTTCTGACGATGTTGCTACCCATCACAAGTATCTCAATATACATACATGATACATACACATAAACATGTATATGCGCATTCTTTAAAGATCATTTGGCCATAGCATAATAACATAGAATAACCAAAGATCATATCTGATGCGAATATTTGGCACTTTATACATCATAATGGAACTCATACTATCAAAATATTTTCTTTCTCAGCATATCATTAATATTACTGCTTATCCCAATTCAATTAATCACTTTAATGGAGAAAACAATTTTCGAAGCATATTATAGTTGAAAAACACAAGCTAAGAAAGAGCCACCTCTCACAATCTAGTTTCCTTTGTCATGAACGTGGTGCTAGTAGGCTAACCGTTTGCTTGTTCAGCAATTAATAATCATTTTGTATGAACTTAAGTGTTATTTATTTGAAAAATATCACATCTACTTCGGACAAGCTAGTCAAATTCCCAATTGTTTCACAGTATATTCCATTAGGGCGAACTACCCATGGTTATTCCAATTTCGACATTAATCCACAGTTTCCTATTCTTGCGTATCCTTACAAAATTTTTCTTGAATTCTCCCGATTTCATCTATCTGAAATTGTGAGATATTCAATTTTAACTCATTATAGCTGATCATATCCATAATCTACTTTTACACATATTAATTAAATAATGAAACCTCCCGCTTTAATATTATAATTTACCTCTTGATGCCAAGAACCCGAAGAAGCTTGTTATTGAGAATTTGTCTTCTCCCTGGAGGCTGAGACTTTGAAGTAGGTAGGATTTCTGATGGTGGAATCCCCTTTCCAAATCCTAAACTTTCTTTTTGTCAATGTGATGGTTGGAAATTTGGAATTTTGAAAGGCATGCATTGGACTAACTTTTAGCATTTCTCTCCTTTTTTGATTATCGAGAAATTTACGAGGGCCACTGGTTCACTGTTGGCATTCGGTGGATGGTGGGCTAGTCATTCTACCCTTCTCCACTTAAATACCAAGTTTTTGTCTGCGACAAGATTCAAACCCGTGACGTGGGCGTAACCCACACATCACGAGTTACACTCTTACCCTAGACGAATACTTTGCGACTAGTGTTTTCTCTCTTCTTATCTTCTAAAATTAAGACTGAGGAATGAGAAAATAAGAGTTCTAGAGTAGCTAGCATTATGCGACCTTCGTAATTGGACAAAGGAAAAAGATTGAAAGTTAACCTGAACTTTGTGTTACTCATTTGAGTTTGTATATGAAATGTGTACCTAAGTGGGTGTGCTATCCAAATATATTTGACTATGGTACTATAAAACTATTGAGGTCCTCTTCCTGTTAAAGGGAAAAAAACTACTGAGGTCCTCTCGTTCGCTCTTCCTTGAGGCAGTGATGTTGGTGAAGGTACCGAACTACTATGCAAAATCTTCTTTCAAAATGTAACAATAGTTGATTACATAATATTGGCTATTTAATATTCTTTGATCCCTTCATAGTTTTGTGCTTTTCCTCTTTTAAATTCTACTTCATGTTGTACACTTCTTATGTCCAACCAGGAGGAGATACAGGAAGATACAACAGATGACATGAACGGTTCCTTGTCTCAAGATGTTGACTTTCACACAAATAGGTATTCCACTATTGATGATGGGGATGCGCTATCATCAAAATGCCTACCTGAAATTGATTCTGAGGCCAAAGGGTTGAAACGTGTACATAACTTTGAGGAAATGGAGGCTCAAAGTAAAAAGCCTCGGATCATTACGCTAGATAGTGATGAGGAGGATCTTCCTGGGGAAAAGTTGTCTCCTACATGCAGTTTGAGTGAGACGGGAGATCAGTCCAATCCACAAAGGAATGGAGATGATGTGCTTCCCATTAGTTCTCTTCCGACATTTAATGAGAAGCAAAATTTTCGCTGCACGGCTTGTGATAAAGTGGCTGTTGAACTACGTGCACATCCTCTTTTGAAAGTTATAGTTTGCCTGGACTGCAAAAACTCAATGAAAGCAAAGATGCAGGTAAAATATAACCATCCCTGCTAAATTATTGAAGATAGTTTCAAATATATCCAAATTATGTGTCAATAGCATCTTGAAAAAATTAGGTGTATTTCTATTTACATGTGTTATGAGATTGCTGTGGTGCTGGCTATTTGCAATCACGGCTAGGCACACCTTTACGTGTTAATTTTAACTAATGTTCTATGACTTAAATTCTGACAAATAACAAGATGTAATTGTTAGAGTATATACATTCTTCTACGTGTAATTAATTATTTTACTAGTTATATTTCTTGTATTTGTAGTTATCTCTCTTATCTGTATTTATCCCTTTTCCTTATAGCTGTAGTTATTTTATTCACTTGTGTCCTATATATACTTTGCCTGTACATCAATGAGAAGATATCAGTTAATGGTTAAATTCTCTTTATCAGTCTTGTTATTTTACAGTAATGATTCACGGTTCTCTCTCTCTCTATGTCTTTTTAACGTTGTGCAGGATGTTGATTGCTCAGAATGCTACTGCAGATGGTGTGGGCGTTGCAGTGATCTCTTAAGTTGTAAATCGTGCAAAAGGTTATTTTGTAGTGTGTGTGTAAGGAGGAACCTTGGTGAAGAAACTTTATTGGGAATAAAAATATCTGGTTGGCAATGCTGCTGTTGCTCCCCAAGTATCCTGCATCCATTGGTTTCAGAGTTGGAGAAGATCATGGAATCTCAGGGATTAGTAGATTCTAGCACAGACACAGATTCAGATAATTCAGATGCTTCAGATGCTGATGTCAATGGGCATAGAAGGTACACCATATACTTGATAATCATGTAAACTGTGTATCCTACATCCATTAAGTTGCATATCTTTAGGACTCGATCCCAATTTATCCATATGGCATGATCATGGCAATGACTCAATTAAACTCGTGCAAGATTTGTGCATGAGCGGGCTACTCTTTAGTTTCATCAACTCTTAACATGTAGCATATTGATACTACAAAAGAAGTTGCATTCTCCACTCTCTAGATCATAGATTCTTTTGAGCAGTTCCACAGCAGTCTTGGAAAATGCTCCGTCTCTTGCTAAGCGAAAAGTGACATGGGAACTGCGACAAGGGGAGTAGTAATGCTTGATCTTTCCTCTTCTCCTTCTCTATTTGTTTTTCCTGGACAGGTGATGATGCCAATGAGAAAATTGTTTCTGAAGCATTTTGTAGCAGTGTTAGTTTGTATTGTTAAAGAATGGGATTTTCTGCCTCATGTATGGAGGTCTAAATACATTGCATCCAAATGGACTTAATAGTTTTATGTTTGTGTCTATGCTCTGTAATGTTTGATTAGCCTCCTTATTTTCTAGCACTTTACCATTTTCACCTCTGTATTACAATATATACCGAGAATAAAGGAAGGACTATGTTTTCTTGCACCAGCACGAAGAGAAGACGAAAAAAGAAAATTAGAAGAATCCTTGATGATACTGAGTTAGGGGAGGAGACAAAAAGGAAAATTGCAATAGAAAAGGTAAAAGTCCAAGCGATGTGTTCTGTCACTGGTTCCTTCTCAAGGCATCTATTAAAACACACATATTTTCAGGAACGCCAAGAACGCCTCAAATCTCTGGGTGCAAAATATTCGAGCGAGACTATGTTCATGAATTCTGGGGCTTGTTGCAAAACCTCGTATGAAAGTGGTAGCTTAGAAATGCTCGGTGATGTTGAAACTGGTTACATAGTTAATGTGGTGAGGGAGGACGGGGAAGAGGCAGTAAGGATTCCACCCAGCATCTCAGCAAAGCTGAAAGCCCACCAGGTCACCTTCTATGCAGTTGTTCGTCTCGTGTGTGTTACATTCTTGCTCTCTGAAGTAGTATACGGATTTCACATTGTGACAAATATGATATCTGAATTCTTCTGAATCCTGTGAGTAGTACTTTGATGTGTTGCACGAATGAGAAAGTTGACTCTCTTTTTCCCTTTCTCCTTCATCAATAAGATCTGCCTCTCATATCTACTTTTTGTCATATCCTTACATATAGAAGATAGCATCTCACTCTTGGCATCGTACTCTTATACATCTGTGGATCATGTGGCCTGCCAACATGTCACCCTAAGGGCTCTTAGGTATTCTGAGCATTTCTTAAGGTCGTCTTCCTCTTTTCTGACTCTAGGTCCTGAAAAGAATATGCTTTTTAAGACATGCACTCAAGGAACAAGTGTTGTTTGTTTTGTTTTCTTAAACTGAGTTAACTGGATTGCTTTGTTATTTTATTGAACAAACTTCTGTTTTGCATAACCTTCAGTTTATAATTTCTGACCTGCACTGTCAATCTCTAGTTCCTTTGTCTTCATTGACAAACCCACAACAATCACTTTGAAGCCGTAATTTATACATTCTTTAGTTTTACTTGTCTGACAAATTCCTCCCTGCTAGTGCTAGGAATGCCATTCCAATTGGAAATCCCTGGCCACCCCTATGTTACATGAACTCTTCATTTGTCTTGAAGTACTCGTGTTGAGCAAGCCTGAAATGCGTAAGGTGCAGATCTTTTCAAAATATACTAACAAACATGTTTAAAATTTACGATACATACTGTGTACCCTTTTTTCTTTTCTTTTAACCGTACTGGGTACTTGCTTACACATAGCTGCATGTAGCCCCCTCAATTTGAAGCCGTAATTTATACATTCTTTAGTTTTACTTGTCGACAAATTCATACAAAATCGTCCTCCCTTCTAGTGATAGGAATGCCATTCCAATTAGAAATCCCTGGCCACCCCTATGTTACACGAACTTTCATTTGTCTTCAAGTACTCGTGCTAAGCAAGCCTGAAATGTGTAAGGTGCAGATCTTTTCAAATATACTAATAAACATGTTTAAAATTCACGATACGTGTACCCTTTTTTCTTTTCTTTTAACCGTACTGGATACTTGCTTACACATAGCTGCATGAACCCCCCCCCCCCAAAACAAAATCTACTTTAGAGGAAACAAAGTTGGAACTCCTTTTCGGTCTTGTGTTCTTTACCAGCTAAAAGCTACATTAACCAAGTTCTAGGGCTTTGGTCTAGCGCTAAGAGCGTAACTTGTGTTGTGTGGGTTAGGATGTCACGGTTTCGAACCTTATTGCAGACATAATTCTTGTGTTTAAGGGGAGAAGGCTAGAGGGACGGGCTCATTATCTACCGAGTTCGAACCTCACACACCAATCCGTGGAAATTTCTCGACTATAAAAAGAAAAGCTACATTAACCAGATCCTTCACTTTGATGACGAGTATCGGTAGCATGTTTTAATGCCAGTATGAGTTCTTTGTCAGATCCTAGTACTAGTATTGATTTTGTGTTTGATTCAGTCTAGGTCTATGCGAGTTTGACCCTTTGAAGTTTGCCACGGGCAAAGAAGTTGAAGAAAACTAAGATAGTGTAGATGGTGAAAACGTGTTATACCTACTATCTAAGTTGCTCAGACACGGGTGCGGGTGTCCGACACGGGTGCGGAGCTAGATGTCGGATCCTTCAAAATGTAATTTCTAATTTCTAAGATTCGGGGATACGCATCCTAGTATGGATACGGGTGCGGGTATCCAACTAAAAATAATTTAAAAAATAAAATTATCTAGCTTGTAAAGTGGATTTCTTTTTATTCTCAAGTTGTAGATATATAAAGGATTGATTTCCTAGGTCAGGTATGCTATTTTCTTCAAATTTACTCTAGTTTTGGTTCTGATTTCGGGAATCAAATTGTATCTGGTCTCAAAATCTTCCCTCCGTCGTGGTCATAGTACCCAAAATTGTTTGACCAGATCCAATACAGATCCCATGCCCACACCCATACTAGTGTTGTGTCGACAGGGGTGCGGCACCTAAAATGCAGTGTCGAGCAACTTAGCCTGTTATCATCCGAACTCATTATATGGCTCTTGATTGTGTATGTATTGTTATTTGTACCATAGAAAATCTCTTATTTAGTATTGGCACCTAACTTTTATCATTGTAGGTTGCTGGGATTCGTTTTATGTGGGAAAATATTATTCAATCTATCAGGAAAGTCAAGTCTGGAGATAAAGGCCTTGGTTGCATCCTAGCTCATACTATGGGTCTAGGCAAAACATTTCAGGTATTACATGGCTGAATCACATTATTGCATTTCTGTGACCTAGCTCCATTTCTTGTTCTGATTCTGACTAATACCTCAGTTTTGTGTCCTAAGGGTACAGGACTTTTAGAAGTTTCTCATCTTCAAATTACTGTATGATCATATGTTTCTTAACACTGCCTGGTGCCCCACATAGTTTCACTTGGAAAAAATTGGGAGTGACATTAGAAAACGTTGTTTATTGTTTCAATCAACTTGTGTTGATTTTACTTGTTTTTTGCTGGCAAGTTTTAAACTGACAGTCAGTTATATTATCTAGCCATCTAGAATTTTACTTGTGTTGCATTCATTTTTACTTGTTTTTTGCTGGCAAATTTTAAACTGACAGAGTCAGTTAAACATTATCTTGCCATCTAGAACTTCAATGTACCGGATTAACTTTCACCTGAAATATGGAAATGAGAGGGAGTATTCTCATCAGATTTTTTACTTTCAACTGATGCTTAAGAAACTGGAAGAGTTCATTATTCTGTTAGCCTTTGTGGTTAATCTTTCTTGTAAATTGTTTCTACAGGTGATTTCTTTCTTGTATGCCGCTATGAGAAGTGTGGATTTAGGATTGAGAACTGCTCTCATAGTCACGCCTGTAAGTGTTCTGCATAACTGGCGGCAGGAATTTATAAAATGGAGACCATCAGAATTGAAGCCTCTCCGTGTCTTTATGCTTGAAGATGTTCCAAGGTTCCTCTTCTTTTAAATCATCACGAGGCTTGTACTGGTGTTGTTTTCCATAATTCAAGTCATATGATTGTTCAAGCTTGTTAAATCCTCAGAAATAATATCTTTGAATTAAACTTAGCAGCAGATTACTGTATGTTCTTTTAGGTTTCTATCAAGGAGCTTATGGATGCTGTATGTATTGACGGAGTCAATTTGTCTCATTAGGTTCTGTTTGTTGCTCTCTTGTTTGGCCACTTCTTCGTGGAGCTATCTAGAGGTAGTCAAGTAGTATATAGGCTATTTTTTGATGTTTGGAAGATGGAGTGAGCTGCTAGGCTGCATCTACCCCAGGTTGTTTGCGACATAGTTTCAGTACACTTGGTTGGATTATCAGCACATGTGGCGTTTCTTGGAGATATGTGCGGGTTTTCTAGAGATGTTATATGTAGCATGTATAAAATGTTGGATGTCAAGATCTTGGTGAGCAAAGGTGGAAGGATTCCGGTGTAGATGGTAGTTGATGATGGGGAAATCACGTAAATTTGGATGTTCCCGGAGCTCTACGTTGAAGCCCTTTATGTGGGAGGAGAGAAGTTGATGGAGAAAGAGGGAGCATGAGAAGGGATTATGAGGGAGGGAGGTGCGTGAGAAGGGGGTGGGGGGTGGGAGGGAGTTCTTATCGTCGGAAATTATGGTGAACCGGCTAGTAACAAGTACTTTTTTGAGAATCGTTAATATGAATGATCTATAACAATTATGACTGGGACGAAGTTGGTGGGATCTTTTATTAGGAGAGAAAAAGTTACAAAATAGGGATTTTTGTTTTCCCTTTTCAAAAAAAAAGTTACAAAATAGGCTAAAAGTGCCGTTTGGATAAGGAAACTGATATGGAGGAATAGTTTGAGCAAAGGGAAGAGGGATCACGTGCCTTATGGTTGCGCTATAAACACTTGAGTTCCTTTTGGTTTAAGTTGGAGACTAGGGAACCAATCCCTTTTGTTTGCAATTGCCAATTGAGAAGGAACTAGCAAGGTAACAGGAGACCTGCGATTGTAATGAGAAGGGGGACATGACTGCTCAATCACCTTTAATATCTCATAGTTAGTTGTCACAGCTACTAACACTTTTGATTTGGAGGTGAACTTCAATTGATTGACGTAGAGTGGAGAGCAGAGGGTAAAAGAGGGTTCCTATGGATGGGAGGCTTCAACAACGGGATTCTTTGGGGACAAAGTACGTTGAGAGTTTTCACAGTTTTCTCACCTCTTATCTGCCAACAACACATTAGTTTCTTTTTTGTGATGCAAACATTAATCAATTGGATTTTGTATGAGCGTTTCTTATATGGTTCTGGACTTCCAAGAAAGACCAAACATGGAACTCGACGATTAAAAGAGTTCAAGAGGGGGCTAATAGAGTGGTCGAGGAGGTACCTGCCTAAAGGTTAGAAAGATGTATTACTTAGGAGTACTCTATAAAGTGTTCCAATGTAGTCATGTCATTGCTTCACTATCTCATCATTACCCCACGTATATCGGAGAGGCTCCAAGGAACTTTTTGTGGGACTCACCAGATATTGGAGGATGTTGTGTCTCCAAAGAAATGGAATGGTCTACGGATAAATATCTCCGAGTTTTCAGCAAGACCTATTAGGAAATGGTTATGGAGATTTGAGGTTGAGGACGCTCAATCTAGTAACATGAAAGCAAAAAAAAAAAAAATGGAATAGTTAAAGGGGGACGGAGGATTAAACATATCACCCTTCTATTTGGATAGGGTCTTTGGAGGAATATTAAGGATGGAAAGACTTATGTAGAACATCATGGTAAGGGATGGAAACAAGATCAAGTTTTGGAATCACAATTGGTGTGTGGAAGAGACTTTGAGACTCACATTCCAGATATTATAGTGTTTGAGCTAAGAGGTGGTGACATTACATAGAGAACGAGTAAGAGTTCATTGGGACTCAATGATCTTGAGGAATCTGCACGACAAAAAAGTAGATGGAAAAGTAGCTGAATTCTGAGGTCGAGTTGAAATGCCTGACAAGCAAAGTACATCGCATGCTAGTTAAGACTCGTGAATGTGGAGAGTGGAGAGAAGTGAAGCGTTCTTAGTGAGACATATTATCATAAGATCTTGGTTACAGAGAAGTCGGGTTTTCTGCTCTAATTGGTTTGGATAAGGGTATCAAAAACATATTTTTTTATTTGGCTAGTAGCGATGAAAGCGATCTTGGCAGCTGAGAGTTTGATGAAGATGAGGATTATGTATGTTAAGTGGTACTGCAAATATGTGCACGACCTCCAGGTGACAACTAGTTTGGTGGTGAGAGGTTTTAACTTGGTTCACATTACAAAAGGCGATGTAGGGCAAGGTGAATGAGATACTATTCAGTTGTGCTTTTATAAGAAGGAAGAGAAGACGGTGGGCGTGGAATGTTGCTCCACTAGCATTTCATGTGCATTCTGTGGGAGGAGAAAAATATGAGAGTTGTTGAGGAAATACAGTACGACTATATATATAGAGTAGCCTCTCAGTCCTAGTTTCTTTTTGGTGTATGCATGAGGTTCAATTTTGTATTGTAGATTAGGTGTCGTTTGTGTTGAATCATTTTTTTAATAGATTCTTTGCTTTTTAGTATACTACTTGTATACACGAGATTCATCATCGTTACTACAATTATTACTGTGAGAAAGCACGGGAGAAAATATATTATTGATGTATTGACATATGTTACAATGAGCCCTATATATATACACACATAACATGTCCTACTCCTAATATATATTGGATTAGGGTTATTTATTTACTCCTATTTACATGACTATTCTAACACTCCCCCTCAAGCTGGTGCATATAAATCATATGTACCGAGCTTGTTACATATGTAGTTAATATGAGGACCAGTGAGGGACTTGGTGAAAATATCTGCAAGCTGATCATTCGACTTCACAAACTTTGTAGCAATATCTCCCGAGAGTATCTTTTCTCTAACAAAGTGACAGTCAATCTCAATGTGTTTAGTTCTCTCATGGAACACTGGATTTGACGCAATATGAAGAGCAGCTTGATTATCACACACAAGTCCCATCTGACTAATCTTACCAAATTTCAACTCCTTGAGCAACTGTTTGATCCAAATTAGCTCACATGTCGCCATAGCCATCGCTCGATATTCTGCTTCTGCACTAGACCGAGCAACCACATTCTGTTTCTTGCTCTTCCAGGACACCAAATTTCCTCCTACCAAGACACAATATCCAGACGTAGAACGTCTATCAGAAGGTGATCCTGCTCAATCAGCATCTGAGTATCCAACGATCTGCTCATGGCCTCGACCCTCAAACAATAAACCTTTGCCTGGAGCTGATTTTATATACCGAAGAATGCGAACAACTGCATCCCAATGACTATCACACGGAGAATCCATAAACTGACTTACAACACTCACAGAAAAGGAAATGTCAGGTCTTGTCACTGTAAGGTAATTTAATTTACCAACCAACCGTCTATATCTTGCAGGATCGCTAAGAGGCTCCCCCTGTCCTGGCATAAGTTTAGAATTCGGATCCATCGGAGTGTCAACCGGTCTACAACCTGTCATTCCTGTCTCTTCAAGAATATCTAAGGCATACTTTCGTTGTCAGATCACAACACCTGAGCTAGACTGAGCGACCTCAATACCCAGAAAATACTTTAGTTTGCCCATATCCTTAGTGTGAAAGTGTTGCAAGAGATGTTGCTTCAATTTAGTAATACCATCCTGGTCATTGCCGGTAATAACAATGTCGTCAACATAGACCACCAGATAAATACAGAGACTCGAGGCAGAATGCCGATAGAATACAGAGTGATCAGCTTCACTCTGAATCATGCCAAATTCTCGAATAACTGTGCTGAACTTACCAAACCAGGCTCGAGGAGACTGCTTTAGACCATAAAGTGACCGACGCAAGCGACATACAAGGCCACGAGACTCCCCCTGAGCAACAAACCCAGGTGGTTGCTCCATATAAACTTCATCCTCAAGGTCATCGTGTAAAAAAGCATTCTTAATGTCCAGCTGATAGAGAGGCCAATGGCGAACATCAGCCATGGATAGAAAAAGGCGGACTGATGCTATCTTAGCCACAGGAGAGAAGGTATCACTGTAATCGAGCCCAAATATCTGAGTATATCCTTTGGAAACAAGACGAGCCTTAAGACGATCAACCTTACCATCCGAACCAACCTTGACTGCATACACCCAACGACAACCAACAGTAGATTTACCTGAAGGAAGAGGGACGAGCTCCCAAGTACCACTCGTATGTAAAGCAGACATCTCGTCAATCATAGCTTGTCGCCATCCTGGATGAGACAATGCTTCACCTGTAGACTTAGGGATGGAAACAGAGGACAAAGAAGATAGAAAAGCATAATAGGGTGATGACAAACGATGATAACTCAAACCGACATAATGGGGATTAGGATTAAGGGTGGCCCGTATACCAGAGATATGATCAGAAGCGGCTGAGTCCACAACCCATTGTCCAGGAGGACTAGACTGGAAAACACAAGCAAAAGATACCAGCAACAGAAGTATATCTGAGCAACAGAAGCTAACTGTGAGATGTCTGCTACTGCTCGAATCTGAAAGGAACTCATTATACTCCCTTCAACGATAAAAGAAAACT